ACGCCCCCCGGAGCTTCCCCCCCGGGCCGTGCCCTGCGACCTCCCCCGGAGCTCCTCCCCCCCGGGCCCTGTGACCCCCCGGGAGCTCTCACCCCACCAGCCCTGCCCCGCGCCCTCACGGAGCTTCCCCCCCACGGGCTGTGCCCTGCAACACCCCCCCCCAGGAGCTCCCCCTAGGGTGACCAGATGTCCCGATTTTATAGGGACAGTCCCGATTTTTGGGTCTTTTTCTTATATAGGTTCCTATTACCCCCCACTCCCTGTCCCGATTTTTCACACTTGCTGTCTGGTCACCCTAGCTCCCCCCGGGCCGTGCCCTGCGGCCCCAGGCCAAGGTGGCATAAAAGAACAATCGCTGTTTATTAAACGTTTCTCCGTTGGCACCACACACTCCAGAAAAAATGAGAAAAAATAAAACTGACATAAAAGAAAACGGAGAGAGAGAGACGCCCGGGGAGCCCGACGCGGCGTCGGGGCGGGCGCTCGTGACCTGAACTCTCTTCCCAAGGGGGGGGCTATGTACAGAGACTGAGGTCCGGAGAGGTCTATGTACAGTACAAATCCGGTGGTAATTACAGCACCCAGCTTGGGGGCGATGCGGCCAGGATGGGCCAAGGGGAGGCGGGGCAGGGGAGAGGAAATTTCACATATGTACAAACTTTTATATAATAATAATAATTAATACGTATAAATATCATGGCGCCGCCCGAGTCGCCGCTGTCGGGGGGGGGGGAGGAAGGGGAGAGTCCTTACAAAAGAAATATGGACTGAGGTGGGGGAGGGGGCAGGGGGGCTGGTTAATGGCGAGTCTTGTCCTCGCCAGAGTCTGAACTAGAGACACAGAAACAGCAAAGAAACACCCAGTACAATCACTGCGCTGAACACATTCACCCAGCAGCTCAGACCATAGCACGACGGTGAATAGCCACAAGAGTCCCCTCCAGTTCTCCGTGCTCAGGTGGGGGGAGGGCGCGCTCCCCCGCCCCGGTGCCCTGCACGCGCCGGCGGGTGGGTAGAGAAATGGCTTCTTCATTATTTTGTTGGTTGTTTCCCCCCACCAACCCCAGACTGAGGGGATGGGGGGTCTGAGAACAGGAAGGAAGGAAGGAAAGAAAGAAAAAGCCCCTCCCTCAATGCCCCCCCCCCCAGAAAAAAAACCAGATCAATGTCTAGATAATCGTCATTTCCAAAGATTGGGGTGGGTGCAGGACACACGGGGGGAGAGGGGGGGCTGAGCAGGCAAAGCCCTTTATCAGAGTATAGAGAGCGCAGAGAGCAGAGGGAGAGGGTGATGGGATCCCAGTGCTGGCACCAGGCAGGAGTTGGGGGGAGACCCCCAGCGCTGACACCAGGTAGGAATGGCAGAGATGAGGGGCAAACCCCAGCACTGACTCTGGCCAGGCAGGAAAGAGGGAGTGGTCTCTCCCTTGGCCAGGGCAATGGTGTGGGGCAGCCCTGCCTTGCTGAGGGTGAGGCTAGCGTGTGATGGGTGGGGCAGGGAGAGTACCTGCAGCTCCACAAGCCTTCTACCCTGACCCACATCCCATTGCTGGAGGGGAGAGAGAGCTGGGAGCCCTTCCCCATTAGTGAAACCTCGACCCCCCCTGGGGGATGCCCCTGCCCCGGGGAGCTGGAGCCAGGCAGAGACCCCCCCACCTGCAGGGAAATGGGGACAGCTTTGGCTCAAGCTGCCTCCTGTCTCAGTTGCCAACCCTCCAGGATTGTCTCCAGGAATTAAAGACTCAACTTTCATTAAAGATTAGGTCATATGATGAAACCTCCAGGAACACGGCCAACCAAAATCAGCCCCCCTAGCTGCCCCCCGCCATGGCTCCTGGGGGCAGGTTGGAGGTGAGTTTATTCCCTTCCCCTCCCATGGGCACACACCAGGAAAGGAGGGGGCAATACTATAAAATGACTGCCAGGGGGAGGATGAGGCCACTCCTGAGAAATCCGAAGTGGGGAAGAGGTAATGTCCCAATTTCCTCCAGGGGGAGGCAGAGGTCCATGGAGGGGGTGTCAGCCCTGCTCCCTCTGGGAGGAGAGGGGAAGGTGTATGGGAGGGGGTGTAAGATTGTCATCTGTGTTCTGCTATAAAACACCCTGAAGTTGAGTTCAAAGCATTGAACTGTCCCCGAGGACAGGTGGGGGGGGGGGCGGTTAAAGGAGGCAGGAGCGGGGGGGCGCTGGTGCAAGGGGAGGGGGTAAAGGGGGTGCCCCCCCAGTGCAGGTTTATTTGCTTGGGAGGGGCACTGTGTCCCTGCCAGGGTCTCTGCTGCTCCCGCCGAGCTGCGGGCTGGGGGTGCCCCCCATCTTCCCCGGGCCGCGTCTCGCGGGGGCGGTGGCTAGTGCTCAGCAGCGGTGTTGCGGAACTCTCCATTTTCCGTGATCTGGAGTCGCGGGGGCGGAGGCGGTGGCTGGGCGGGCAGGATCCCGTTCCATGGCTGGGCCAAAGCGCCGCTCAAACGCGGGTTTGCTGTACCCACGGCGGAAAGCTGCCTCTCCTGCAACACAGACACAGAGCAAAGGCTTATTTATTAACGTTACGGGGGCTCAGCCGCTCAATCTGCAGCCCCGCCCACCAGCCCTCCAGACACCTACCCAGATGGCAGCCCCTGCCCCAGCCCTCTTCTCCAGTGCCTACATCCTCCCAGGCAGCTCGGTCCATGGGGCCGACCTGAGCCAGGAGCATCCGGCACCAACCCAGGAACAGTAGGGGTTCTCCTGGGGGTTTGTTGCTTGTTTCCCTAGTAGGAGAGGATGGCCCCAGGTTTTCTCTGGCCTGGCAGTTCATGGGGTGGGCGTGTTAGCTAACACTGGACTCCAGCAGTGCACCCCAAACGCACAGTGGGACAAAAGAAAAAGGATTCCTACTGGAAAACATGTTAACGCCCCCATTGTAATTCACTTCTCTTAGCACCCAGCTGGACAAACCCTATGCCCAGCCAGCTACCACCTGGTTGACACAGACCTAGCTAGCCTGGTCTACTCTTAAAAGCTGTAAGTTAGGGGTGGTGATGTCTTACTAGTACCCGGGTACCACTAGGACCCCAGGGCAGACACAGCTATCCTGAGATTAATTTACCATAGGGAGGATTGCCAGAGTGGGGGGTAGGGTGCTCGCCTGGGATGCAGAAGCTCTGCGTTCCAGTCCCTGCTCTACTGCAGGCTCTCTCTCTCAGCTCGGGCACGTCCCTTCTGGCCAGATTTACAGACAGGACTTTGGCACCTAATCTGTCTGGAAATTACACCTACTAGGTGCCTATCTGCATCCTCAGGCACTAAATACCCTGGAAAATCTTGGCCTACCAGCAGCCCAGCTCTCATGAAAGGCTCCTCTACATCTGAATGGTATCCTGCTTTTACTGTCCTGCGGGGGTTAAAGCCAGACACCTTTGCTAGTAGTGTGGATACAGTGATGAAAAGGTGCTGCGAGCAGCCAGCCATTCCCGAAGGGGAATAAGCTAGAAGGGTACAAGGCACTTTTATC